GTTCCAGTTTCTCCACAACCTTGCCAGCATTTGTTGCTTGCTGTTCTGTTAAATTTTGCTATTTTGACTGGGATGAGATGATATCTCATAGTTGTTTTAATTTGCATCTCTCTTAGAGCTAGGGATTTTGAACATTTATTCATGTGCTTGTTAGCCATTTGAATGTCTTCTTCAAAATGAAGTGCCTGTTCATATCCGGTGCCCATTTTTCTATTGGATTATTTACCTTTATCTTGTTGTGGTGCTCAAGTATTTCATAAATTCTGTATATAAATCCCTTATCTGACATGTTATTACCAAATACTTTTTCCCAGTCGGCGGCTTCCCTTTTTACCCTGTTGGAGAAGTTTTTGGATGTGCATAGGGGTTTGAGTCTTAGAAGATCCCATTCATCTACTTTATCTTCTCACAATCAGTTTTCTTACATGACCATTATGTATTACACTGCTTATGAAAAGATCATTGATTAAAACATATCAATTGCTCTGTGAGAGAAAGATGGACAATCTGTTCCCTTAAAGAGTGGTTGCCTTGATTTGCATTTTTCTTAGAGCTAGGGATTTTGAACATTTCTTCATGTTCTTGTTGGCCATCTGAATGTCTTCTCTGGTGAAGTGTCTGTTCATATCCTGTGCCCATTTTTCAATTGAATTATTTACCTTTATCTTGTGGTGCTCAAGTATTTTATAAATTCTAGATATAAGTCTCTTATCTGTCATGTCATTACCAAACACTTTTTCCCAGTCTGTGGCTTCCCTTTTTACCCTGTTGGAGAAGTTTTTTGGATGTGCATAGGGATTTGATTCTTAGAAGGTCCCATTCATCTATTTTATCTTCTCCTGGTTGTAGATTTTTCAGGATACTTGTAAGACTGTTTATGTTGTGGGTTAGGACTACTAATGTTCTTCCAAGCTTTTCTATGAGATATCATCTCAACCCAGTAAGACTAGCAAAATTTATCAGAACAACGAGCAACAAATGCTGGCGAGGTTGTAAAAAAAATCTAGAACCCTTATTCACTGTTGGTGGAAGTGTAAAATGGTGCAACCACTGTGGGAAAAAAAGGAAAAAGAGTGGTTGCCTACTCGCTTCTTACTCATGACCCCATGTGTTATAGAGTAAAACTCTATTTCTTGGTATGGAGCTTTCTTTTAACACATTGCTGCAAATGACGGTAATACATGGGGGGGGGAAATGTGTGTCTAAGCATGGTCGGTCATCAATTTAAAAGTGTGTTGCAACGTGTTAATATGACTTCTCTAGCCCTTATTTGATGTTGTTATGCACATATGTGGGAAAATGTAAATGGAGCATGTTGGCCTATTCACAAGGGTATTGGCTGTCTACAATTCCACAAGAAGATTTGCCAGTCTCAACAATCTGCAAGAGGACTGGCTAGTCTCACCAATAAATTAAAGACCTTTAGGTGCAGAGACAGGAATTCTTTTCAGATGCGAAGAGATGGAATTCTTTTCCTAGCCAAAGAAGAGAGACCCCTCTCCCAACCTGGTGAAATGTAGGACAT